ACAGAAATAGAGGTGCAGCTCTATGTTTTCACCTTCAGCAGGTAGAGGAGTTCCCTTAGTCTTTTAATGACCTTGATGGGGGCAAACTAAGATTTGCAATTTCAATGCAGAAAAGGATTTCAGGACTTGCCGGTTTAAATCAGAACCTGGATTTTATTAAAAATAGGAAGAAGTACTCATGAATAAAAGACACCAAAAGTGTGAATGTGGGTTTCTTAAAAAAGAGTAACAGTAAAAGACGTTTTAAACAAACGCTTTAAGCTTGAAGTTTAAGCAAAAGAAAGATGCTGGAAGAAGGAATGAGATATACCAAGGAATGAGTATGGACTTCCCAAGAAAGTGCAACAATCAAGTGTTTTAGCATTTGCTGCATATATCATTTCTGAGGACCTTTGCTCAGAGGTTGCTAAGGATTCCCTAATTTTTCTTTCTCTCTCTTTGTGTTAAGTGAGATCAAAGAATGAGTCTGGAAGAGGGAGAGATTAGATGAAACCAGTGTCCCCTGGGTTTACAGAAGGTGGCTGGAGGGAGTTTCCAGTGAGAGCCTTACCCCTTTTCAGGGAGAAAAGCAAAAAGAACTCAAGCAGTCTTCTTACCATTATTGTGATAGAACTTCATTCTGATTCTCGGATTGTGAGATTTCCCACCAAGATTCCTAGGTTAGAGGTTTTTTTTTTTTTTTCTCCTTCACCTATGCCCACGGTTTTCTCTGTCCTTCTATCATGCTTCATTTCCACATCAATTAGCCCAGTCTAGAACCTTCATCAGAGATCCACTCAGAGGTTTGTCTCCTGAGTGACTCCAGTGCCTGTCAAGTCAGCAATCAATGTTAACTATCAAAATAAATGAGAAATCGGGCTCAACGTCACATGGGTAATACAAATTGATATTTCTTGTCAGTCAAAATCTCAGATATTCAGTTTCTCTTTTTGTAAGTAGATTATTTTATAAAAGCATCATATCAATTTAAAAGCATAATAATCTATTTTAATCGATAGCAAAAGTGTGCATGAATACTGAATTAAGAGTATTTTATTTAATATCAACAAAAATAGTGGTGAGGATGGGAAATTGAGTCCTGAATTCCACTGAAAAGTTTCTGCAAAGAGTGGTGGAATTAAAAGATTTGAAACTGCACTTGAAAAGTTCAAAATGGATTCTGATAGGATCTAGTTGTAAAACACAGGAAAAAGAACTCTACTTTAGGCTTTCTCTCCAAGAAGTGTAAGGTAAACTGTTATCCCTTGAAGATTCACAGACACAAGTTGCATATACAACTTAGAATGTTTGAATGGTGGAATGCTTGCCTAATAAAGGCTAGCATTTGAATTCTTCCCCTTTTAAAGCCCCAAGCTTTAAAAGGTGGGGTGTATATGACACAATTATTTTTAACCATAATCACAAATGAATATTAAACATCTATAATTTATTCAATATTCTGTATCACCTAGATTGCATAAATCTTATAGTCTTTCAGAAATGTAACTATGTGAAGAATTTGTAGCAATTTCTTCCAAACTGAAACATTACATCCTAGAGAAGGTCTCTCATTAGGCTCAGGAGGCAAACAAAACTCATAGAGCTCAGAAAGTAAGCAACTCACAGGTCTCATGAAGTCCCTAAAACTTACAAGACCCACAAGGCTCTTCTAGATGATGTAATTTGTAATGATTGCTAAGAGAAGAAAGGGACCCTTCAACCTGTTCAGTTGTCTGTAAATCATGCATGCATGGAGCTACGGAGATTCAGCTTTCATGAGGGTGGGTGAACTTTCCAGTGAAATAGTTACTGAGTCATTCATTCTTCTATAAATAACCCCTCAGCTAGACTCCGCCCAAGTAACTTCAATGAATGTGTTGATTTGCCATATTGGACTTTGGCGGTATCGTTACTTTGATCTGTTATCAGTTCTGATCTGAAGTAAACAGATATTTGCTTGCATCTCACAGAAAAATTTAACAAAACAATGAGGTGCAGGATACATTAATTAGCTTAACTATATAATTTCCAAATGTATACCTTAAACATTTTTATAAAATAGATTGAAAAGAAAATAATTTTTAAGGTTTGGCAGAATAAAAATAGAAGGGAGAAAATTGAAAAATTTGAACTTTCTACTTTGAACAATTACATGACTTTTACCTAATCATTTATGAAATTTAAAACAAATTAAAATGAGAAAGTAACAAATTAAATTCTCTAACACTAAAGACCTTTGAAAATGTCATATGGCAACTTAGTACCATAGAAGCATCCTAAAATAAACACGTATATTAAAGGAGTTTAAATGAAATTACCCTATAATATGGCAACAATCTCTTGCCCCAGACACCACTGGCTATCAAATGAAAATGCAAGACTTGGAGGAGGGAGGGAAAATGTGCTCAAACTCATTGTCTGAAATTCTCAAAAAAAAAAACTAATAAAAACAATTATTAATACCAGCTATGGGTTACATCTTTTCAAGTCATTGTTCAGTAGGATTCCATAAACCTCCCCTCAAGCAACATAGGTTATTGCATTGACCTTGGTTATCCTCCAGAACATGATGGTAAGACCATATTGCTGAAGACACAGTGTACCTGATTCATAGCACATAGAGAAATCAAGCTAATATCATCCTGGAGCCTTCATCCCTCCTGAATAGTTTTGGAAGATACTATGCAGAAGAATATCGTAATCACCAGTCCTACCCAAATCTGAGCCCTTCTTGAAGCTACATCAATAACCAGCCAAGGAACATATGCCACTGATGCAATAGTTGCAGATGATTGTGGGAGTAACCAAGAACTTCCTGATTGTCTTTAAAGCACATGCCATAACATGAATCTCATGCCTGGTATTGGTAACTGTGCCAAAAATCTGTGGCTGGCTAGATCATAGGCATTACATGAGACTAAATAAACTCAGTGGGTATTAAACTGACAAAGAAAAATGAGAGAAAGAGAAAATATGAAGTTGAGAGGGGAGAATAAGGAAGGGGTAGGAGAAATTGTAGAGAAGGAAATTGGGATTATTTCTTCTAAAGACATATGTGTATATGAATATTAAATAAAATACTTAATCCAAAAGGAAAGCATATACTCCAAAGGGGGAAGTTAAATCTCATTTTGTCTTCCCACAATCCTCTTTTGTCCTGTCTCACTCTCATTTCCAGAAGCAATACAATTTCACAGCTTAAAATACACCGCTTAACACCTTTTTTTCAAATAACTTCCTTAATACATGGACAAATGTGTAAATGTATGCTTTTAAACATACAGGGAGCTTTATTATAGAAGCCACTCTCCCTCTTACTCCACACTTAACAATATGTAATAGGAATTGCTTAGTGTTGATTCCTAAAACAAGATGCATTCTTTTAATTATTGAATAGCATTTTATAACACATATGTAAGCCATTGATAATTTAAACATTACCTTATTGAGGGAATCTTAGAACATTTCTATTTGATATGCTTAAAAGACTTTTGAAATTATCTATCATCATTTTACATGCATATTTCTGTATGCATGAGTTTCTTAAAAATTAGACCAAATAGAAGTGCTGACTACAAATTATGTTTTCATAGATACAAATTTCTTTTAGAAATGTTATGGTTATTAATAACAACATGGAAAGTGTGAGTAGATGTTTTGACTTGAATGTATTAAATCTTAGGTGTTATCAATATATCTGTATTTTATACTCTTAAGAGTAAACAATTTTTACTTAAACTTTTAACTCGATAATGTTTGTTTATTCTTTTTATTTTTTCTATGACATGCTAAGTTATATTTTATATTTATTTTCTTATTTTAATCTTGAACTTTTCTTATGAATTAGAGAAAACAATTTGCTCTAATGGTAAAACTGCAATTTAAAAACGTTATCTAGTCCCGGATATTGAACACAAGACTTCACGCAAGCTAGGCAAGTAATTTACATTGCTCCATATCCCAAACCCAAAGACATTCATAAAATATTTTACCATTCCTACTCATAAAGAGTAACCTCATTGCTCCCTTTTTATTATACTGTATTATACGTGGTGATATTAATTAGTATATTTAGGCCTAAAACAATATGTGTCATATTAAAAATATGATGTCTTTAATGCTTTCACCGTCTCTTGTCATATTCTAAGGATTCAGTGATGAAAACATTAGCATCAGTGGATGTCTGCTGCTGCTGATTTCAGTAAATATGTTCTTCCTAACACATGAGATATAAAACTGTTTTAGTTTGTGTAGTGTATCCATAACAATGCAATGGCAGTTCCCATTGACGCCCTCTATATACTATAAAGACTGGAAGCCTGAGAATATTTTCTAAAAGGTTTTTCCCAAGAGCTTCTAGTTTTGACATTATTGGGCGTTCTTTTGTGGTGTTTATATGAGGGATCACTCAGGAATAAAGACCAGAATTCTGGGCTCTGGCAGATATTAGGTTTATCATTGATACCTGCTTCCATCTTGAATCAACCAATTCAGTGTAGTACCTAGCTGTCACCAACAGGACTGACTTCCCGCAGTGACTAATAGGAAGCTAACAGTAATTTTCTCATTTCCTGGAAACTGTAGACATCATGAAATCCAATAGGAGACTTTCTGGAGCATTAAGCTCCCTTGTCCTGTCAATCAAGGTGTTTCTTGTGTTTTCAGTGGGAAGGTACAGAGAAGTGTTTCCTTCAGTTTTGAAAATAACTGATTTCCTGTACTAAGTTTCAGTGTGAAATACCTAGGATGGGTTTTGTTTCCCTAGCAGACACATAACATTTTAAGATTGTTGGTTAGGAAGAAGTATTAAATTCTTTGAAGAGATTTTTTTTTTTTTTGCTTCCAAGATAATGGCATTTAACTCGGTAATAAATTACGTACAAGAACTTTCTGATGTAGAAACTCTTCTTGCATTTCTGGTCCATACTTATTGAGCATCTATGTTCAATAAAATTTATTTCAGGATTATGTATGGTTTTCTAACATGTTTCTGAATTTAAGTTATAGTTTATTTAGTATTTTTAGTTANGATCCTTACTGATGTTGCTGTAGAAGGGATGGTCAGGCTCCATTGGCGGTGGTGGGACATCGTAAGATCGCCTCCAGATCTTTACCTGTGCCTCACCATGCTTAGCAGCAGTTTCTGCTTTATTGAGACCAGTCAGACCCCCATAGTGTCGCTCATTGAGGCGCCAGGTCCTGACTACTGGCAGCCACATCTGGTCAATGGCATCCAGGACTGTCCAGAGGGTCCGGATTGCTCTCTTCTGCACGGAGGTGAAGCTGATGTCGAATTCATAGCCAGCATCTCGCAACGCCTGTCCGCCGCGCTTCGCCTCCTCGTGGCCCGCCGGGCTCAGGTCGGCATCGTACCAGCCGCTGAAGCGGTTCTCCAGGTTCCAGGCGCTCTCGCCGTGCCGGATGAGGACCAGCTTGTAGGCGGCCATGGCGATAGGCAAGGGGATGCAGCAGAGACTGAGGCTCGCTGAGATTCCGCTCACAGCCCGCCCCACACTCGCGCCTGCGCACTTGCGCACGTCCGCCCTCTCCCCTATCAGTAAATTTTGAGCACTTACATATGCCATAAAATAAATAATACAGAGATATCATCTATTACATGGCTAAGTAAAATATTGTTTTTGTAATTCTTAAAATTTTTCCATTGCAATAATAGTTTTTTCTGTTGTTTTATGATAAGTAGTTTTTAGGGAGCTGTTTATGTTTAACTGAACTTTTTGCTTATGGTGTTCTCTATTGAGAAGATTCTCTTTTTTCTTTTACTTATAATTGCATGCTTTATTTTAGTAGTTCTACTTAAATCTCAAAAATATATTATGATATATTTTATTACATTCACTACTACTAACTTACTTTCTTCATTCAGTTTAATTTTATTTAGATTAATATCTTACTCTAGAACACTAAGCTTCCAACTTGTTTTTTTTTCAATTTTTTACTATTTAGTAGAAGTTAATTTTTTAAGGCATTAGAAACAACTCTGTCTGTCTTCACCATTGGGGATCTATTGAAAGACTGTCAGTGAATAACAGCAAACAAGTGAACTATGGCTCCTAATGTATGATACAAAAGTTTCCACTATTGAGAAGTGAGGTTCTAAATCTATTTAAGAAGTAAGATTTTTAAGAAATGTGAACCTGGAATGGAGAAAGAGTTGACTCAGTAGCCAAGAACATTTGATATTCTTGCAATGGACCCATGTTCAGTCCTCAACACACACATGGAAAATCACAATTGTCTGTAGCTCCAGTTCCAGGGAATATCTGACATCTTTTGGCCTTTATGCACAACAGACACACACACATGACACGAATACATACATGCAGGCAAACATTCACACATAAAAATAAAAAGTAAATAAATCCTTTTTTTAAGTGCAGCTAGAGCACCAACATATAAACTCCAATTTTACACTGTCTAAATCTGTTAATTCTGTGAAAAATAAATCTATACATCTCTGGCTGAAGTTTCCTTAGTACAGAGTGGAGGTCCTAATAGTAACCTTCCTACTGGGTTGATAGAAATCAATATGTTAGTATATTCAAATAAATTGTGCAGAATACTCCAGAAACACAAAAAAAAATAATAATACTTAAAAGGTGCTAAGTAGGATATCTACCCCCACCACTGAAGCCCCAGAGACCTGGCAGCAGCCTCGCCATACCCCCAACCATTTGCCACCCAATCAGGAATCACTGGAGCCATGGGCCCACCTGCATCTGGCAAAGCCCCAGAAACAGGGTAGATGCTTCCCCACACCCCCAACCATCCCCAACATTGAGAAAAAAAAACAAAAAATCATCAGTTCATACTTCAAAAACCTCTACAAAATTGGAAAATCTAAAGGAAATGGACAATTTTCTGGATAGGTACCACATACCAAAATTAAATCAAGATCAGATTTTTAAAAAAAAAATTAAATAGACCTACAACCTCAAAGGAAATGGACGCAATCATAAAATCTCCAAACCAAAAAAAAAAAAAAAGACGATGGTTTCAGCCTAATACCAATATTACTCAAATTGTTCCACACAGTAGAAACAGAAGGAACATTACCAATCTCTTTATACGAGGCTACAATTACCCTGATACCCAAACCCCAAAAAAATGCAAGAAAGAGAATTACAGATCAATCTCCCTCATGAACAATGATGCAAAAATACTCAATAAAAACCTGGCTAGCTGAATCCAAGAACACAACAGAAAAATCATTCACAATGATCAAGTAAATTTCATTCGAAAGATGCAGGGATCATTTGACATATGAAAAATCTGTCAATGTAATCCACTATATTAAAAAAATACTGAAAGGAAAAGCACATGATCATCTCATTAGATCCTGAAAAAGTTATCAAAAAAATTCAACACCCCTTCATGGTTAATGTCTTGGATAGATCAGGGATACAAGGTACATATCTAAACATAATAAATGCAATATACAGCAAGCCAACAACCAGTATCAAATTAATGGAGAGAAACTCAAAGCTATTCCACTAAAATCAGGAATAAGACAAGGCTGTCCACTCTCTCCATATCTATGCAATATAGTATTCAAAGTTCTAAAGCTAGAGAAAAAAGACAATTAAAGGAAAACAAGGGGATACAAATTGGAAAGGAATAAGTCACACTTTTGCTAATTGCAGATGATATGATAGTTGGTATACATAAGGAACCTCAAAAATCCTACCAAGGAACTCCTCCTATAGCTGATAAACACCTTCAGTAATGTAGCAGGATACAAGATTAAGTCAAAAAATCAGTAGCTCTCCTATATACACGTGATAAATGAGCTGAGAGAGAAATCAGGAAACACCACCCTTCACAACAGCCATAAACAACATAAAATACCTTGGGATAACTCTAATGAACAACTGAAAGAATGAATGAAAAGAACTTTAAGTTTTTGAAGAAAGAAACTCTCCCATGCTCTTGGATAGGAAGGAACAACATAGTAAGAATGGCAATCTTACCAAAAGCAATCTACAAATTAAATGCAATCCCCATTAAAATTCCAGCACAATTCTTCACAGCCCTCAAAAGAATAATACTCGACTTCATATGGAAAAACAAAAATTCCATGATAATCAAAATAATCTTGTACAATATAGTAACTTCTTAGAAATATTAGCATCCCTAATGTTAATCTCTACTACAGTAATGAAAACAGCTATTAGCATACAAACAGTCAGGTGGATCAATGGAATCAAATGCAAGACCCTGATATTAATCCATACGTCTATGAACACCTGATTTTTGACAAAGAAGCTAAAATTATACAATGGAAAAAAGAAAGCATCTTTAACAAATGGCAGAACTGGATGTCAGCATGTAGAAGAATGCAAACAAGTTCGTATCTATCCCTATGCACAAAACTCAAGTCCAAATGGATCAAAGATCTCAAAATAAATCTAGCCACACTGAATCTAATAGAAGAGAAAGTGAGAGGTAGCCTTGAACACATTCTGCTTCCTATATATAACACCAGAAGCAGACATGAGAGAAACAATTAATAAATGAGGCCTCCTGAAACTGAGAAGATTCTTCAAGGCAAAGGACATGTTCAACAAGACAAAATGGCAGTCTACAGAATGGGAGAAAAAATCTTCATCAACCCCACATCTGGCAGAGGGCTGATCTCCAAAATATACAAAGAACTTAAGGAACTAGAAACCAAAATACCAAATAATCAAATTTGAAATGGATACAAATCTAAACAGAGAATTCTCAATAGAGGAAGCTCCAATGACTAAATTACACTTAACAAATTGTTCAACATCCTTAGCCATCAGGGAACTGCAAATCAAAATCACTCTGAGATACCATCTTACATCTGTTAGAATGGCTAAGATCTAAAACACCATTGACACCTTATGCTGGAGAGGATGTGGATTAAGGGGAGTCCATTGCTGCAGGGAGTGCAAACTCATACAGCTGTTGAGGAAATCAGTATGGCACTTTCTCAGAAAATTGGGAATCAATCTACCTAAAGACCCAACCATATTACTCTTGGGCAAATACCCAAAGAATGAAAACTTATACCACCAGGATATTTGCTCAAATATGTTCATAGCAGCATTATATGTAAAAGTCAGAACCTAGAAACAACCTACGTGCCCCTCAACCCAGGAATGGATAAAGAAAAAGTGGTACATTTACGCAATGGAGTACTCAAAAGTGGTTTAAAAAATGACATTTTGAAATTGGCAGGCAAATGGATGGACCTAAAAAAAAGTCCTGTGTGAGATAATCCAGATCCAGAAAGACAAACAAGGTATATACTCACTCATAAATGAATATTAGATATAAAGCAAAGGAAAACCAGCCTGCAGTACATAACCCCAGAGAAGCAAGGTAACAAGGAGGACCCTAAGAGAGACATACATGAAAATCCCCTGGGAAGGGGAAACAGACAATATCTCCTGAGTATATTGGAATCATGGAGGGGGAAGAAGAAATAGAGAGGAGGGGGAAAAAGAAGGGAAGGGGAACATGAGGGTACTAGATGGTTGAGTTGGGGTAAGGACAGATAGGGAGAACAAGGAAAGAGTTATCTTGATAGAGGGAACTGCTGTGGGACAATGATCTTGTACAGTTTTAATAAAATGCTGATTGGCCAGTATGCAGGCAGAAAGTATAGGCAGAGTGACCAGGCAGGGAGTAGAGGCAGAGTGACAAAAACAGGAGAATTCTGGGACAAGGAAAGTCTCAGTTTGCAGTTTACCCAGAAGAAGCCAGACACAGAGGAAGCAAGATAAGAATGCCTCACTGAAAAAAGGTACCAAGCCATTTTGCTAGGACAGACAAGACTTGTGGGCTAATTTAAGATATAAGAATTAGTTAATGAGAATCCTGAGCTAAGAGGCCAACTAGTTTATAATTAATGTGGACCTCTCTGAGTTTCTTTGGGATTGAAAGGCTGTGGGACCAGATGGAACAGAAATCCTATCAACAAAATGACACCCAACATGGACAGATAAATCCACTTAAAACCTGAGAGAGCTTGGGAAGTAATGCTAGACAAAAAGTAACGGAGTTAAGCACAGCTTCTTGGAAGCAGCATTTTCTCATGTAGGTTCTGATTGCTAGAGGCAAGCACATCTTATTTAAGAGGCTTCCTGACTCAGCTTTAGCTGCAAAAACTTTGCAGCTTATTTAAGAGGAACTGCCCACAAACACTTAATGGTGTTTATGAATAGCCAACAGCATGCTTCTTGGTGGTGGCATAGATCATGAAATGCCATATAGTTGTGGCAATAAAAATGGCTCTGGCCAGTACCTCTGCCATGAGGCTAGACTCTCAGAAGGCTAAGGAATGGGGTAGATCCAACTGTCAAAGCCATGGCTTTAATCTTAGCCATATCACTTAGCAAATTAAAGACTCATGTGGTCAGAAAAAGAGAGAGATACAGTAAAAATAAATTCAGACAGAAAAAATAATAAACCTCTAAATGGTTTACAGTGTGTTTTAAAATATATGTAGGCTTGGGAGAGAAATGAAAAATGATAAATTCCTTAAAATAAAAAAGA